ATAAATTGACTGATTAAGGATTGTTCATTAAACTTTCCACTAGCCATAAATCTTACTAAGCCTAGCTATAGCATGCAAGTACACTTAACTTTGCTTACCAAAAGGTATTGCTATCTAGGCTGAGTAAAATTCTTTATTTTTCGCTAAAAGGGTTCTTTAATATTTAATCTCGTGCTTAAGTAATGTATTTGATATAAGTATATAAATCTGCCCTAGATACATATAGTAACACTCCGTTGAAAAGACTGGGCTTCCGTGAAACCATTTCCTTCTTAAGGGAATATTATGTACGATCTGAGTTCCACCCTTAAATTAAGTCTGAATCTAGAAATAAGTGAGAAAAAGCAAAAATAATAGAAAGCCGAACGAACTATACTAATTTTGTCGCTCAAACAAAACATTTATTATTTGTTCGAGAACAGAAATGGATCTGCAACCCTCTGTCAGTTCTAGTAAAGGATAAGGATCAGAATGTGTGAAAAAACTATTTTAAAACCGATGAACAAGCAAACATTAAGGTTACTGTTATAACGTAAATGATAAAATCTAAATTTTTTTACTTATATCATAGTATTATTAGTTTTTAAATAGATGTCAATTACTCTCGTCTTAACCGATTGTTCCAACTTACTGCAAGGTCCTCTACCTGGAGGCTCACTTATTTACGTAGAGAAACAACAGACAATGTTTTCCTTTTAACTATAACAAGTGGTAAAAGTATTTTTTAAGAATGTTTGTAACACAATTTTTAGATAATAGGCTGCATGATCTTTAATCTTTATGTAGTATGCATTTTATACTTGCTTTGGAGTTGGAAACTGACATGTCTTTTTACGAGGGCTATGATAAACCCTTGAGGGGGCACCTATAGTGGGCTAGACAACAAAAATAGGTCAAAGGCTTCGCCAGAAAATCTATTATTTCATTTACTGCTAAAATTATGCCTATCAAAAAATTACAAGACGATTATTTACAAGCGTCATTTATGCAAGATTCAAAGTACTGCAAGCAGTACTTTTAAGCAGTTGAAGGTTTCTTTTATATTGAACAAAAAATAGTGATCTTACGCTTGAATAGACTTCTAGAAGATTAAGAAAGTCTGAAAAAGGTTAAGAAAATATTCACATGTATTTTGCATTGCTTCATCTAAATGAACTTATAATGGTTAAGTGACACCAATGTAAAAAAAGTATACCATATTTCCTTCCCAATGGCCTAGGTTATGGATTGATTGTCTGCTTACTGATGTCAGAAGCAACTTGAACACTAACTCTTTGGAAACAAACTATGAAACAGAGTGGGTCTGTATGGCAAAGATACTATAAGAAATATTCAAGCTTATAGCTTCTTTTAAACTTTCTTTTAAATGAAGATGTGAAGACCAAGATGTTGTGGCCTCGGGTATGGTCGCAGTCTCCTTTAAATGACTCAATTTTTTGACCCTGGCTAACTTCTTCGTTTAACTGGGTACAGATTCTAAATAAACCAAGAGTATATCCAAACCTGAGCTGAATTTACTCACTCTTTTGAGTGTATAACACTCATGCTGACTTTCATCGAGTTGACGTGCCAGCTTCTCTTGTCCATATAGTAACCGGTCAATCTCACTCCGCAGATGGTTGATAAACTCTCTTGACATCTCCATCGCATCTCTTTGACTGGAAAAGTAGAGCGCAGAATTAGGTTTGCTATTCAACTCAACTTGCACACAGCCTTCAGTCGAGGTGCTAAGTTGTCCTTCTGCTGTGCAAGTAAGAATGGGTTAAACGAAAGTTTCAGGCATATTTAATAAGTTAAATCGGTTCCAAATAACAGAAAATTTACTTCAAACTCAGCATTTCGAATTATTTTGCCGTCTCAGCAACCAGCAAGGCTACTTATATGTAAGGGTCTCATCTTATGGGTGAGTACTGCTAATCACTGTCTACAATTATAAACTTTTACAGGCTCTAGTCCAAATAAAAATTTATTATTTTAATATGCTTATTTTTAACTTTGCGCAAAAACGATTCAAATAATATGCTTATGTGATAGAGTGAGTAGAATGGCTGAATAAATCTTAGGACCTAGAGGAGATTAAGGATGGATTAATGGAGCAAATACAAATGTCACCATTTAGATGAAATCCCTATGTACCCTTTAGTGAGTAGGCGCAATAAAAACCTAAATATATGAAATATATATATAATTGTATTTATATATATAGGATGAAACATTATATATTTCTCGTCATTTATATGCAAAGGATTGAGAAAAAGTTCTGCGGGACAGTAGGACTACAATACTTAAAAGTCTCTTAGCACTAGAATTAAATATATATATATATATGTATATACATATATTAAAATTATTTTGATAAATTATTATATAAATATTTGATATTTGAAGATTTTTCAACCTATCATTCATCAGTTTTCAAAATATTATGCGTTTCTAAACGTTTCAGGTATTTTACTTTATCTTTCACATGAATACCTAAAACTACGCACATATGCATAGGAAATACTGTATGTAATAAAATTATAATGGCATCTATATTATATTTCTTTATATAATAATAATAATAATAATAATATAAATATAGATGCATATAATATTATACGTATGTATTGGTTCTACTGTCTTTTATTGCCCACATTTGCAAAGTTAAGAGTTGCATGGGTAATCCACCTCAATTGTGAGGAATTGAGAGAAAATGTGATGCTATTAGGGATTGCAGCCAAGTTATTGTGTATCAGTTTCACCCTCAAAGCAATTTACGAGCATATTTCCATTTAAGTTTAAGGCTTTTCCTCAACCGGGTCTTGTCCTTAAGCGGTTGAATCTAGGTTTAATCTATAGTCTATTATAATTATTTATTCGTATTTAATTTATAAATTTTGATATTAATAGGTTTCGAGTTAAATTTAGCCAGAATAGTTAATTCTTCCTTACTTACCGCAGTCCAACCTCTCTTCCATCAGACCTTCGATGTCTACCACCTCCTCTTCGAGGTCATCGAACATGCTTGTTGTTGTGTTGCCAGTCTCGTTGGTCTTGCTCGACATGAAAGTCGGTGGAGGTGTCGGGGATGGAGAAGGAGACGGAGATGGCGAGAGTGAAGGGGCGTCACTCCAGTCAAATAGTGGATTACTTCGTGGCTCCACTAGACATCGAAGAGGCCCAGGCAAAAGCTGACCATGTTCCTCCTCCTTCTGGCGTCCTGCCTCAGGTCTTCCGTTGGTCGGACTTGTTGGTTCATCGTCGTGACTAGTTAAAATGTCGGCGAGGTCAGGTGGAACTTTCAAATCCCTTGGGATGCTTGAGTGAGAGGTAAGCAGATTGTCTGTATCTGAAGGCAAGTCATTTTGCTCCGTCAGCTTTGAGCCGCTGCCCGGGTTTTGTCTTTGACCCCATTCCGCAAATTTGGACTTTCTCTGCGGCACCCCGAAATATGTTGGATTATCGGACAGCAAATAATGAGGCAAAGGTTTTTCGAGTATGGATTCAGGCTGTTTGGCAACTTCATCAATTGAGTTTAGCCATTCCCGATCCAAGTGTTCAGCCTTGAAAATCCCTTCATTTTGCAGGCTTTTAATGGCAGTCATTCTGTTTGCTGCCTTAGTTATCCTTTCGTTCACCGACTCGACGGCTAAATAGTCCAGCTTATTGGTACAGCAGCTCAGGGGCAGGTCGGAACCGTACTTCTGGATTAATCTTGATTGACCTTTTGAAGCCTGAGGTTTGTTTCTGGCTTCGTCAAGTCCTTTTACGAGGGCCATGACAAACCCTTGAGTGGAGATCTATAGTGGGCTAGACAACATAAATAGATCAAAGGCTTCGTCCGAAAATGTGATATTTCATGTATTGCTAAAATTAAGCTTATCAAGAAAATACAAGACGATTATTCACAAGCGTCATTTAGTAACCAGCTGTGCAAGACTTAAAGTACTGCAAATGCGATGAATTTAGACTTATTAATTCAATTAAGGTGCTTTAATAAGGTGGGAATATAACCAAGGTCCTATTTTTACATAGTCACCAGTCACCAGTCACAGAGAATATATAACCTTCAATACAAATATAATTTTCTATCGGGATAGTTAATTAGGCAAATATATAGAACCATTATGTATTACCAAATATGTATGCAGTTCTCTGTGTGTATGTTTTGAATCATTCCCCAAGATGACCCAAAGACTGATATTGGAGGTTCCTACAACGCATACCACCAAGTCTTGTCTCCCAACAGGTTTTTTTCCAGACTCGGTTTCGAATCTTGCCTAGGCCAAGTAAGCACCCCAATTGAAGCTTAAAACACGATAAAAGGCATATTCCTATCTGGTTATAGTGACTATTTCATCCTTGCTTCAATCTGACATAGGTGAGATTATATTTATTGATAGACGAGCATTCATATTTAAATTTGATATATAGTTGGTGAATCATATTTATATATATATAATAAATCGAAATAATTTATTTGTAAGCTATAGATAAATATATAATTGATATATTCAATTAAATCTAGATGATAGATGATAGGTAAGCATAGATGATGAGCTCCGCTTAGCCGCGATGAAAATGTCCAACAGTCCAACCTACCTATCATGGTTGGATCACTTTAACAAGACTTATGGCTTTAGTAAACAATTTTAACAAAAGAAAAATCTTGATTCTGATGAATCTAGAATTCTTTCATGAC